GGCAGTGAAGCATCGTGTTGAACACGTGCTGTCGTTGATGATGGTGATGATGCTGTTTCCGTCAGCCAAACGTTTAGTAACGAAATCAGCTCGTTTAAGCACAAGACATTATGTTCGCAACTTAACTTCACATACGTCCTCCATACTGTCTCCCTCATAAATACCTTATTAAATTGAACGTTCCATGTTGGGATCTATAACTACCCCAGTGTATTTCTGTATTACATTCTAGGATGCGTTCTAAACGCATGGGTATAACTCACACATACACAAAAGTTTGTTATGGCTCCAACATAATCAACGCTTTTCACCAAAACACAAACTCGAATGCTGTCATGTGTACGTGCTGTGTTGCTTACCCGAATATAAACAAGCTAAATAGGTGATGAAGATAAGCACAAAAAAGTTGGCTATGATTTCTATTGATCACAATTTTTAGTATCGCTTGGGTATTCACTCGCTGAGCCCTTCTGCTTATCATGGTTTTTTACACTTGGCCCGAGTCAGAAATTTTCCGTAAACGGTGAGTTTTGGTGACATCTTGTTACCCAATTAACTTCCTTATTCTTCTATTACCTCATTCGATCATTACAGATTGGCTCCGCTAACGGAGAAAAAAGTGGTTTGGAATATTATAGAGGCCTCTCGCTTTACATGTCGCTCATACGCTTGTTCAGATACACAAATACTGAAGTGATTGACAGATACTGAGATTCCATTATCGTGTTTGCCTCTGAAAAATGGCCATTCAATTTTTGGGGCCCACTTTTACGTGTGCGCAAACTGGTGCATGAATCTCGTTTATCAGGGCGTAGCTTATGACAACATTGTTAGTTTGAACCAAGAACCGAGGATACCTATTGGTTTAGATGAAGTTTGACTTTCGCCATTTGCACTAAAGGGGTGATCGCGCTGTACTTCGGGGCTTTCTAATGTAGCGGTATACAGCACAGATTGATATTGGAGATTTTCAGTTAGATTGGCATAGGATCTTGGTGAATACAGAACAACATTTTTCTTAGTTCATGCTCGGAGAATTTTCAGTGTTATCACATGACCGAATTTAGACTGTGGGGTGGAAGATTCTGTCAATTCATGGACATAATGAAGACCGTATTGTTATCATTCGTTGTATCCTAGTGGGGTGTGCACAGTTTCCAGGGTGTAGAATGAATTATGGAGTTCACGCTCAGATGTATTTTAAAAATTGATTTGCGAAGTCCATTTTAATCAAAGAAATAACAATCGCCAGAATATTTCCAATTTTCAGCAATGGACATTCTGCAACTGCCCCGATTTGAGCTTTTGCATTAATTACGCTGCTAAACTTTTGCTTGTGTATCGGATTATTTGGAGTGTTCAGCCCCAAATTGACTTATCCTACTCGAGTAAATGGGTAAGGTGCCAAAGTACACCGCACTCAGTTTTGGTCGGTCTCTGTTGCAGTGACAATATCTCTTCTGTATGCTCACTTTTAGCTTCACTGATACGCCAAAGCCGATATGACAAAGTGCATTCGCGTGCTTACAGCAAATGGAATTTCACCCCAAGTTTCTCCTCTTTGTTCCACGAAGGATGATAACAGGGCGGCTCAATTTATAGCTTATGGCTAACTATTCCAATCACTTGGTATTTCAGTGGGCTAAATATGATAGACTTGGGTCACGAAGTGGCACAGCTGCAACTCTGTAATTTGAACAGCAGCCATTTAAACAGTTTTATCTAAGGTTGCTACCATATGCTGGACTCACTCACTCATTCAGTCATAAACTCAAACATAATATAATGCGCCATTCTTGGCCAGATATTTCACACATCGAACCAATATCTTGATGGCGCATTCGATGCTTAGCTGAATCAGTAAGTGAATATCCATAAAAGTTAAAGCAAGTGCAAGGGAATTTTAGTTTTCAGTATTGAAAACCACGTGCAGGTGGCACGTTTACTGTCTTGTTTAATAGTCTGTGTTCATTTAGTCGTGTTAGCTAATACGTTACTTAACAGGATACGGCTTTTCTCCTTTCAACTGCAGTTAGTTTGTGAATTCACAGTCTAGTCAAGCTTTGTGGGATACGCCCTGTTAATAATCCCGAACGAAGTTAAAGACTTTGTTTAAATCGGAAGCATTTTATCACATTCTGACTCAAATCACAGGTGAGATATCATTTAAACTCGAGTTCTGATCAAATTCGACTTGTCTAGGCGGAAAGCCTTGAATCCCTAATGTTCCTGTCATGTACTGATTTGCAGAATTACGTCCAAGACCCGCACCGCCTACGCCTCTGATAATCAAAAACAATCAACGCCTTACGTCGGAGTGAGACCACTCTCTCTTAATTATTCTGTTCGAAAGATAACCTAGCCATTCCATAAAATTTTGCTAGTGTCGTATCTAATTACATTGGACGGAGACTTATTATCAAGACTCGTGTAAACCGGTAATCTTGGTTGACATTTGATAAGCGCATTTATTTCCATGTATCCACCACCTGGTTAAGCCGTTTTGAAATACTCAGACGGGTCAGTGGTGCATCGTTTTTTATTCGCGATATATGGCTCAGGGATTGCACTTGCGTAAGAAACAACATAGATTGATCTTCCGCCTTGTGGAAAGTTTTTATCCAGTCGATATTGTTACCAAATTGATGGTGGAAAACGTGAACTGTAATTCAGCCTAAGATCCGGATATTAAGCAAACGTCCGTTCGGTGTGAGCCGAAAGCAGTAAATAAGCTGGACCATAAAAGCTAAGAAATGACTAAGCCGCGCAGAACATTCTGTCGTACGTCACAACATAGGTTGTTAAATCTGGGGTTTGAAAAAGCACACCAGACTTTTTTCGTTGCCAGAAAAGTTGTGCGAACTCGATTAAAATTCAACATTCTCCGAAGAATTCATATGAGCCTATTGAAGTTGGATAAACAACATTTGTGCACAGCCAGCAAATTAACTGCTCACCTGCAGAAACAACTGGTTTTATTCTTTCGAAGAAAAAAAACACCTCGGAATTTTAATAACTGCGCATAATTAAAAACGGTACTGGAGCGGTGTAAGCAGCAAACCTTGGTCTAATCTTACTGGTCTTAGTCTTCCAAAAGTTATAAAAACCCAGTAAATATCACAGAACATTTTCTAGAAAAGCACTCGACTCACTTAATTAATTGGTTCATAAATTTTAGTCACTCGTGGTTCCCGGCTGAGACGCTCAGTATTGTTTACACATGCTCATCAGATGGAGGCATTCCGCACTCCACTAGGCCCTGGTGTGTCACACCGACTGTGTGATATTTCGAAAAAAAGTTTTTGCCTTTCAACTTCTGGGAAACTAACCACATCAAACGAGAGGTTGTTAAGAACATTGATGTAGATCTCAGTTGAATTTATGCAGATTCAACCTGAATTTTTTCATTTACCAGGGAGTCAGAATGGTTTCTTGTAAGGAATAACCTGATTTTGCTCACACATTGTTCATGCACCCAGTGTAGAATTTAACACTCTAAAAAAAGGATTGTTGCATATATGAAAACTGCAAATCTTGGTTGTTGATCAGGTGGCTGGTGATCTGTTCGCCGAGCTTGGAAATTGGCCTGCAAACGTTTCGTCACCTAAAGAGGTAACACCATCAGTGCGTAGTTGAGCGGGTGCTACTTCCTTGCCTGCGTGGGTTGTATAGCATTCGAAGGCTATCTCTTATCTTCTGACGTGATTGGCTACTTAAAGTGTAACAAATTTGATGAATCTATTGTTCCGTTTGTGACCTTTGTTGCATTATGGTCCGCGTTCCTTAGTGTTGATTGGTTATCCTCACGCCTTCTCTTTTTAGTAGATTGTTCTCTCCGGCGTCGGTTTGTATTGCGTCTTGTTCTGACGTCCTTAAGTTTGATTGGTTGCTTGTGCCACCATATTTCCTCCACCGTACCGGTCAGTATCCCTTCGTCCGTCGGTTGATTTGGTGCTTTGATTGTACACTTCCTCCACTCTAATCGATGTATCCGTTTGACTGATGTTTTCCCCCTTCTCTTATGATTTCCTTGTCTGGCTGATTTTGCAGATCTAAGCTTCGTGGTTCTGGAGTTCTCTCACCCTTACTGGCTGGTAAATTGGATCAATTTCGATATGCTTGTTGATGGCCTCTTCGTTGGAGTACCATGCTTCCACAAATTCGCGTTCTATTATAGTTCTTGCTTGAGCCAATATGCAAACGCCACTCCAGTCGAACTCGTGACCTTTCTGATCTCTGTGTGCGGAGATGCGGGAGAACTGATGGTGTCACTTGGTGGCGAGCTTATGTTCATATATTCTGGCGTGAGCTTCTTTCCTGTTTGTCCTACATACCGTTTGTCGCAGTCCTTGCATTGGATCCTGTATATGACATTGTTCTTCGCCACTGGATCAAATTTTCCTTTCGGTCTTGATAGTGCCTCCTCAGGGTGTGACCCGCTTACTTGCATTTTGTCGTGCTGAATCGATCGTATTTGGCTTCCTGAGTGTTCTCCAGATGAAATTACTCGAGTATCCATTTTTCTGGAACAATCTGTATAGGCTCTTTTATTCTCTGATCTTGGATTCTGTTGTGCTGCAGTGTGTCTCGATCCGCTTAAAAGGTGCCGAAAGCAGCCTTGTTTTTGGCAATTTGGATGGTTACTGTGGTAATTGAGGATTTGATCCTTTTGCGTCACCTTGCTATGTACATCAGTTTGTAGCTGTCCGTTCGGCAATCTAGTGACACGGACGTCCAGAAACGCCAGTTTTTCGTTGTTAGCTTCTTTGGTTGTGAAGATGATGTCGTCAAAGACGTTGTTTGGCCGTTGGAATACTCGGTGCGGTTCGCTTATTTTGATGATCACGGATGAATCTTCCACATAACGGACCCATCTTTTGGGATTTACATCGGGCAACACGACTTGTTCCAAGTTTTGCATTGTGACTTCTGCAATGAATCCTGAAATCAGTGATCCCATTGGTGTCCCTCGCAGTTGTTCATATTATTCTCTGTTTAACTCAAGATGTGTAATCAGCCCTGAGTCGAGTAATCTGCAGAAGTTTTCCTTCTCCAGCGATCCAGTTGGCGTACAGGTGTTGTCCAGTAATTCGCCAAAGTTGTCCTGGCTGACCGAGGTCTGCAGACGTGAATGGCGAACTCACATCAAATGAAGCCATTATGTAGTCCTGATCGGAGAGAACCGACCAGCTTAGAGCTGCAAAATCAAGCGGATGAGGAAATCATAAGAGAAGCAGTAAACACCATTCTCTGAGGCCATAGAGAACAATCTTCCAAAAAGAGAAGGCGTGAGGATAACCAATCCACACAAAGGAACGCATACCACAATGCAACAAAGGTCACAAACGGAACAATAGGTCAACAAAATTTGTTATACTTTAAGTACACAACCACATCAGAACATAACAGATAGCCTTCAAATGCTACATAACCGCACGCAGGCAAGGAAGTATTACACGCTTAACTGCGCACCGCCAATCTGGCTTCGTAGCAAAGAATATGCCAACATTTGGCCGCCCTTCCTTATCCTTGAGGACTCAATCGGTTGAGGTAAACCCCATGGATTTCTGGTCAAAATTATTATGCCAACGTACCAGTCTAACCGGCTTCCATAGCTTATAGCATGCAAGAAATGGTTTTATGCCTGCAACAACAAATTAGCAGAATATTTTTCTGGAGGGTAGGAGGGCGGACAAACATATGTCGCCTGGCAGTTAATGGTAAACATAAACAACCGAGCTCACGAGGATCCCGGGTTTGTTGCCTAAAGTTCAATTCTGATGAAAGACCCATTTCAGGATATCCGGATCTAAGAAAAACCATGTCTCCACAAACAGCGTAGGAATCAATTAAATGGACTGATTTATTCGTTTGTTATTTGCATTATGTACGTTAAACCGAAAAGTCTACAGAGCAGTATAAAACATACCTTGCAAACGGGACCCAGAACTCTCAGTAGTCTTTGGTGTTTGGTTGATCGCTGAAGTTTGGCTAGTAGATTGCAAATGCAAGTTATCTGTTTGAGATGAAATTTCGCGTTTTGCCAGCACGCACGTGCGTTTTACTTCGTCGGTATCTGGGGGTGGGGCAAAAGAGTATTTGAGACACCCAAAAATAATCTAGAGTTGAATAGTATTCGACTGGCTCAATAGATTGTGTAAGCGAAACATCCGTTAATTGATCCACATTGAGTCACATACGTGCTAATGCCCGCGAAACGTTTTTTGTTTTGAAATACGTGTAACATATTAGTCACTACCTCCGTCGTTATACCCGCTGCGGTTCAAATCTATATAGCAAAGTCACAAATTGGCATAAGTTATACCCAGTCCAACAAAGGTTTTTCGATTTCACAGACAATTTGCTCTGAGTACTTAGCCAAGGTTGCGGCCCTAAATATAAATATACCCATCAGTATTTTGGATTCCATTCGTAAAGTCGGAAAGATAACGATAATTTCCGGAGTAGACTTATACATATCTACGGTCGATAACTGCAAGGACCCTACCGCGTTGTTCTTATATAACGTTCAACTTATCATAGTTACCTGCCACCGCGGTGAAAGCAGCAGGGTCTCCTTTGTCTCATAGTTCAAATCCTCTCAATAAACGCAACGCATCAAAAGCCAAATGGTTATATTTTTACCATGATAAATGTTTACGCAGTTAGTCAGAATGACGCTGACATCTGAAAAAGGTTTTCCGTGGCCTTAAACATGAGATACCGATCTTCCGCAGTTGGTTGTTCATCACTTAGTAGCGTAACGATTGCGAGTAAAGAAGGTAATGACCTTGCATTAAAATAAAGTCTCACACACTCCAGACTACCCTCAGGCAGTTGTAGATGTGCCACGCAGGAGGCTCTCTTAACCCGTGGGCACATCAAATTACATTGTGTCACATGTCATCCGATTTTTCGTAATCTAAAATTATTTATTCGTGTTATTCAAAATTACGGTTCCCATGTGGGTGAGTAATGCAAAATGATGGCGCGAGGATCAGTCTTACGTAAAAGTGCTTGATGCATACACTGGGCTTCATAACAAAAGGTGGATGCAAATATAATTATCGAGGGGTTGCCCGATTGATCGCTCATTGGCTTTGCTTGGTCAGCTCCAATATTTACCCGAATACTCAATAAGAAGAAAACGTTTCATGTGGGAAAAAATAATCGTTGATTGTTAACGACCGTGCAGAATTCAGGATGTGAGCTCTCTGCTGCCAAATAGCGTGGGCGGTCATTCGTTTAATTCGCGCACCGCTGTCTGTGTTACAAAAGAAAACGATTACTACTCTCAAGTGAACTGAAGAAGTTCTGGATTGACCTGCTGATAAAGTGTGGGTAGAACAAACGCTTGAATATTTTTTAAAATGACGTGAAGTGGGTTATATCGCAAGACGCACATTTTGCTAGATACAAAGTAGCTCAAGCCAATTTCTAGCAGGCCATGTTTACGACCTTGGTCTAAGCTACTTTTAGATTGACCCGAAGTATACTTTGAGTAGATGAATCCCTTCGTAGCAACACATATAATACCAATTTTCAATGTTCTCTCGGAAGTTTTCCAGACAAGATGTGCTTAAATAACGCACGCACCAACATCATACCACTGACTACAGAAACCTTTTTCATTTACATCTACTGGGGTTATTCAATGCAGGTATGCTACATGAGGATTCTTGTTTAACAACCACCGAATTCAGGATCCGGTGAGCTATGCCACCCTGGCTACGAGGAAGGCGTGACACAGTGGTTCATATGATGAACCCCGTGGAACACTACGAGTAACCTTCAGTAATGTTGTTTGAAAGGCGCTTGTATCCTTTGACTGCGCTGTCCGTTTTGTTGCGCCAGACGTGCGCGCAATAGTCCGTTTGTTGTTTAAGTGAATGATCCCAGATTAAGCTGATTCAAGAACGGTTAACCTAACGAACGTGTTCTACATTTGGAATTAAAGATGTTAATTTTGCCTGTGTTCTGTTTAAACCAGAGAGGGGAATCTGCTGTAAACTGCTCTGTACAGCTTTCGATTTAACGTACATAATGCAAATAACAAACGAATAAATCAGTCCATTTAATTGATTCCTACGCTGTTTGTGGAGACATGGTTTTTCTTAGATCCGGATATCCTGAAATGGGTCTTTCATCAGAATTGAACTTTAGGCAACAAACCCGGGATCCTCGTGAGCTCGGTTGTTTATGTTTACCATTAACTGCCAGGCGACATATGTTTGTCCGCCCTCCTACCCTCCAGAAAAATATTCTGCTAATTTGTTGTTGCAGGCATAAAACCATTTCTTGCATGCTATAAGCTATGGAAGCCGGTTAGACTGGTACGTTGGCATAATAATTTTGACCAGAAATCCATGGGGTTTACCTCAACCGATTGAGTCCTCAAGGATAAGGAAGGGCGGCCAAATGTTGGCATATTCTTTGCTACGGAGCTAGATTTTCGGTTTCGATATATACATTAATCCATGTTTGAGGGCGATGAAATCTACATTGGGCAATATGTTGCAACTAGCGCAACATCAGGTTTACAGAAGCAGATGAATAGGTAATATTGCTGCCCCACATGAAAAATCACCGCTCTTTCTGCTGCTTTCCTCTGTTAAAAGGATGGCATGCAGGAAGACATAGAAGGAACGCACGTACGAATCTTTTTTTGACAACCCAGGGAATCAGGAGAATCTGCCACGTGATTTCTTACGTCGCGGACCAGTTTGTGAGGATGACATACTCAACAATCTTCGAGCATCTTTCATTAACCATTGAACAGGCAAAATCTTTCATTTTATTAAATTTCGAATGGTTTTTTCTCACTTGACTGCAGGTGGTCTTTTGCAAATGATGCAGGAGGACTCATACTTTCGTAAAATTGTCGCAGTTTTGTCAAACAAACCATACGTCAGTCAATGTTTTGAGTGAATTTCTAACTCAGTAATAAAATCTCGATGCTAAGCTAATTCGGGTACTTCTAGTTATATATTACGATTGGTGCCCCGTAACTCCAGATAGAGAGGCTGCTTCAACTGTGTTTTATCCTTCGCATCGCGTACGGCCCGGAACCATTGGAGGAAGATTCGCTTGCTTTCAGATATGATTTCGACTGCGTATGTGCCTTATTTGCATTTGCTTCCATTTGCTTCGCAATTTGTCGCTCATCTGAAACCCAAATAAGTCGCTTTTTATGTTTTTGGGCAAACACGTGAGTAGTGTATTAAGTCAGTGGATAACGTCCAGTTAATTCATGCTCCAATCATATGGATCCCTATTTTACTGCGCGTATTGTGCAGAACTGGAACAACAAACCCACAGCAACTTCTTCACAACCCCACCACAGTACAAAACATCTATATTTTTGTACCAGATCTCCACAAATCTTGGACATCAGCGACCAGCGTGGATTGTTTTTCGCCGTATCAGACTTTCGATAATGAAGCTGCACATTACAAAACTTCCATATGGAAATTTTTCTTTTATCGTTCACAATTTCAATTTTGTTCTTTTTAATATGGCGATACATCCGGTGAACTTTCAAATTTGTATTTCAGATGATTTCCTGAATCAATAACTTTCGATCTATCATAGCGGAGTAAATACCGTGGCTGTGTTCCTGAATTTTGTAATTTGTTTCCAATATGATTCATCGGTTCATAAATATTTGCTTACTTATACCGCGTATTGTTACTCGTCGAGAGCCTAGAATCTATTTGTGTTATCACCACGAAAGACCGCTACTAAATTACCCAGCTTTTCTAATTCTTTCCACCCGAAAGAGTTAAAAAATCTGGAACACCGGCTACTTGATGCGTCAGTCCACATTTTCACTTTTTGAGGACGCTTCACTTTAGAACGTCATTTCACAAGGTGTGGTTTAGGGGCGAATACGCGGTCAAAGGAACAGCTTAAGTTTTATTGACCTAAACATATAAGCAATTATTGTTCGTTACTAAGCAGTGATATATTTGAGACAGCTGGGCACGTTTATGATAATGATATCATATAGAGAAAAAATAAACTTGGCATCTTCGGATGGTATACTCCATTGATACTAGGCTTAACACTGAAATTTGGCGCTTTTGTTGTTGAAATACAAAGCCAATCCCTGAATTCCGATGCAAACCGGCACGTTAGAAAATTTTCTCGTTTAAGACGGCCACATGTTTTTATCGGATCAAGCTCGGTGACATGTAGAAAATGCATTTTGTGAACGAAATGCACCACAATAGGTTGTTGGCAAGTTCGGATACCCCAATGCATGGCGTACTCGGTTTGATAACTGCTTTTTCACTCTGCTTTCGTCCTCTTCACAGAAATTTCGTTGGTTGGTCCGCTCCTTCGCTCTTAATATAAGATATGATAAAAATATGTAGCATTTTTTAATCAAAATAAATACTTTAACAACCTCAGCGTTACTAGAAAAAGAATGATTTGGAGGGGATTTGCCTCACCATTGGAGCAAGGTTTTGATATTCTGCGTATTTTTAACCTTTGCGTGCACGGAATTTCGAGCGAAAACCTCAATAATTGTGTGCATTTTATACCAACTTATTTTAACAATTGGTCCCATTATGCGCATCAATATTATACACAATTTTCTAAAATGTAATTGACGCAAAATATTGGGGACAAGCCGCTTCCTTGAACACGACGACTGATAACACACTTACTTAAACTGCGTGGCAACAGATGTTTGAGACACATTGAAAATAACATTCGAAATTTTTAAACGGCGCGTTTCAAGTAATCATTTGCTCCAACTCGAATTGAAATTCCTCATCAGCCTGCGTTAGGAATAATATTTCGGTAGAAATAGGAGCCGAAAAAAATTATGAAAGTTTCCTCTGTTGAATTACACGAGTGATAAACGCACACGATTGCATTGCAAGTCTAATGTTTTATAAGTAGCATTATCTCCTCCTTTTGTTATGTCCCAACATACATTGTAGCAGGAGCAAACTTTCATTAGATTTAAAACGTGAAGCATTCTTGATTGTAGTCACTTTTTTGATGAAATCCAGTAGATAATTGTGTCGTCACCTTGTAAGATGCTAAATCATTTAGCTGGTAGCT